GCAACCTCCGCCTCCTGGGTTCAGGCAATTCTCCTGCCTCAGCCTCCTGAGTAGCTGGGATTACAGGCACACGCCACCATGCCCAGCTGATTTTTTGTATTTTTACTAGAGACGGGGTTTCACCGTGTTGACCAGGATGGTGTCGATCTCTTGACCTTATGATCCACCCGCCTCGGCCTCCCAAAGTGCTGGGATTACAGGCTTGAGCCACCGCGCCCGGCCCTACTTTTTAAATTTATATTTAAAATGTTGAGGAATTAAGGGCAATGAAAATTGACTTTACTAAATGCAATATGATATTGTGGGCTGACATCAGAAATAGAAAAAATAAATTTAAGTGGAAAAACTATTAGCTATTAGTTTAGCTAATACTATTACACCCAGGTCAATTTCTCAGTTTTAACCATGGCTATGTAAAATGTTAATATTAGGGGAAATTGGGTAAAGGGTATACAGAAACTTTCTGTATTATCTTTGCACCTTTTCTATTACTGCAAAATAAAAGGTGATTAAAAAAGTAATAAGGAAATTAAAACACATCTTCATATCCAGGTAATTCTTACTATTTAAATGATCTCTACAATTGAATTATACAAGACATATTTCCAGAAGTACTTCATTTTCTAACTCCATACATCTAACTGTTCAATCAATAAACATTGATTTAATACCTATTCCATGCCAGGTACTAGAATAAAGAATTAGAAGATATAGTCCCTGGCGAAAAGAAGCTCACACTCTAGTAGAAGCTTACACTCCAGAAACAAGAAAGGCTGTGACAGAAGGTAAACACAGTGACACAGGGCATGTAGTAAAGCTAAGGCAGAAAGTGGGGGCATGGTGTGGATGGATAATGGATGACAGAAATGCTTCACAAAAGGTTTCCTGGAAGGGATAACATCTGAGCAGAATCTTAAAGGAAGGGTAAGAATTAGTCAGGTAGGGGAAGAAGAGTGAGGATAGCCAAGAGGCTAGTCTAGACAAGTTCAGGAACATATAGTCTAGTGTGAACACAAGTATGAGGGGAAAACAGGAGACACTGGTAGAGCCAAAATCATGAAGGGTCTTATAATAAATGTTGAATTTGAATTTCATCCCAAAGGTTATGGGGAGATGACAAGGGATTCTTTTCAATCAGGGACATGATATGATCAGATGTGCACTGTAAACCCATAACAACAAGAAAAGTTTAAATATTTCCTATACCGTATTAATTTTAACATGTCATATTTGTTTTTTTTTTTTTTTTTGAGACGGAGTTTCACTCTTGTTGCCCAGGCTGGAGTGCA